CTCCCAGAATTCCCCAGCCAGCATGCTGGCTGGGGAATTCTGGGAATTGAAGTCCAGATATCTTAAAGTTGCCAAGATTGAGAAACACTGGGCTAGCCATTATTAAGGCACCTCAAATGAGAGAAAAACTTCCAGTATTCCCTGGATCTGGAGAAAGTCAAAGGGATTGATGGCAGACTCTGTTTACCTGAAACTTAAAATGGTTGCCCGCCACCCCCGAAACAGTGTGGGGAAAAAATCTTACATGCATTCTCAGTAAATCCAAGACCACCCTCTTGTTTTAAAAATACATTTACAGGTAGTCTCCAGTTTAAGAACAAGTTCTGTTCCCAAGGTCTGTCCTTAAATCGAATTTGTATGTAAGCCAGAACAGTTTTATTGTATAATACTGTAAAAGTAGCATTGTGTATTTAACTCAAATCATTGTGTATTTAACTTGAATCATTGTGTATTTAACTCAAAGTTTGCTACAGTAGGCTCCATTCTTAACTATGGGCCATCTGTAACCTGGGCATTCTTAACCCGGGGACTCCCTGTATTGGAGGAAAAAGCTTCTTGCTCCCTTTGGAAAAGTATTTTTTGCATTTTGGGAGCATGTCATGGGAGCTCTCACCAATGATTGCCATGGGAAGAGGAGCTCGCTTATTTACAGAAGCATTGCTATGGTGAGCAGGGCCAGTCACCAAACACCCATTTCCCAGAAGGCAAAAGGAGTGAAGCTGCTCTCTACCACCCCCGTAATGCTCTCTACAGCCCTGCTGATCTTTCTCTGGACAGAGGGGTGCATTTGGGGATGAAGCAATGGACCACAGCTCTTTACTCTTCCTGTTTGCTAAGAATGTCTACGGGGTGCCCAAGGGATTCTTATGAATCAAAAAGACAGTGTCACTCTTTCCTGGCTTAATATAGGGAATATTCAAAAGTAATTAAAGCTATGTGGAGACAGGTGGGTACCAAGGTGTGTGTAAGTAGCCCAATTGGTCCCCATAGGAATACAGTTTCCTACCTCTGAGATAGGAGCACAAGCAGCAGAATGACCTGCTGTAATGGTATGTGATGTTACATTACACCTGCCTATATCAATTCTTGTAGATGGCAACATCTTCCAGTAAAAGAAAAAAGGCAAATACTGTCATTTTTAGGAGCAGGCCTAAATATGAGCAATATGAGCAGGCCCATATTGGGACTATTCGACTTCTAGAGTTGACTATGTGTTTCTACTATGATATCTGTTTCTTAGTGCTTCTGCCAGCAAATTATATTACAGCAATGAGAAAGAAGTTACAGTGTGGACTGCATTAAGGAGATTCTCAGTAAAGTTTACATAGGGCATCCCTTCGTAACTTCAAGAACCAAGTTATAACGTGGTTTGTGTCAGGGAGATTTAACTGGCCCCAGGGCCAAGAGGGATTGGACATGCCTTGACTGCTCGCTGAGGAGGATTCTTGCATTGCATTTACGTTTCTATTTTGGATTTGTGCTTGCAGGGACAGTGGTTCCTACCAGAGCATCTTCCAGCGGAAATCACCTGGCTTGTCTTCGCTGAATGTGCAGCCCCGCCGTGCCATACATCCAGAACGCCAGGCCCAGGCGGCGGTGAAGGCCCTGGGGAGCAGTGAGGACACCAAGCGATACCTCCCCCTCTGGCCCCAGCTCCTGCTGTTTGGGCTGCTGGCTGCCTTTCTGGCCCTCATCTACTTCTTACAGGGAGACACTGATGATAACCCCTTTGTCAAGTACTTTCGTCAGTGAAGCCTTGGCGCTTATACTAAGCTGGCTCCCCAGGAGCCTAGGCCAGTCTTAGCTGACCTGGTCGGATTGGTTTGGGAATGTGGTTTCCAGCAGTCACAGCTCATTAGTTGGGATGCTGGAATTTGCAGTCCTAACGCAGCCAGAGGGCATCATGATGGTCAGGGATGGCCTAGAACAGTGCTTTTTGTTTTTGTAGAATGTTTTCTTGTTGTCAGTAAGTGCCTTCTTGTCATTTAAAGGGAAAAAGTAAGTGGTATATTGAGGGCCAGGGATGGTAAAGTTTCTCCCAACTTTCCAGAGATAAAGCTGCTCCCTACACCTCAGGCTATCCCCTTCTTGAAATCAGCTGACACGGGGCATTTTTGTCTGCTGTTTTTATAGCTTGTGGTTTATATCTGGAGCATGGGCAGCTTCTTATGGGGGGGGAGGCACGGAGGGAAGAAATGTAGCTTATCAACTGCTTTGTTTGTTTTAAATATACAAATGTATGGAGTATCTAAATAAATCTTCCCATTTTTTAAGGGTGTCTATTTCATTATTTCACCTCAGTCTAGACAATCACCATTTCTCTGCAGACATTGCTCACCCTCCCATTACTCCAAAACTTCTTGTGGTCAAATAGCTGAAGGGTTTCTCCATAGTTTTCATCATTTTGATTTGGGTGGCTGTCTAAATTAAATAAATAAAGATTACATTAAGCCAGAAGTAATTCTTAGTATTTATGGGATGTTTTATTCTCTCATAGACCACTAAAAAGAAAGACATGAGATTCACATACTTGGCCAACCTTCTTCCCCAACCTGGAAAAGGGGAGGGAGGAACTGCATTCCCATGTAATGCTAAGGCAGGTTTTTAAACCAAGGTTGTTGAATAAGCTGCTAACCCCAAAATGAACACATTGCAGTTTGGTGTTATGTGTGAACCAGCTGATGATACATTCATGGTAGAAGGGTGTGTGTGTAGGAGATAGTCATGTATTGGCACGAGAATGCTTTGATGGGACGGAGGTAAGACTAGAGGCCTTGAGCAAACCCTGAGGATGTGAAACTGCAGCCTGTAGGGGTACAGGAGAGTGCTTGACCAGGACCTGGGAGGGCTTTCTGTCAGTGAGATGACACAGGAAGGGAATAGATACTGGGGAGGGGACTGCATGCTGGGGAGAGGGATCCTGTTGCTGTGGTGTCCTTCGTAATTTTTCCCGGACCTTTACGAACTCTGGCTGGCTCCCACCAGGATCCCCTGTTGCTTCCTGCTGTTGATGCTGCAGACAAGAAAGGATATTCCGGTCAGACATCCTTGAAGGTCCCTGTGCCTGCCATAAGAACTACGAGGCAGTATCAAGAGCCATCACGGTGGCTTGACCCTTACCTGTTCCCGTCTCTGCTGCCAGCGCAGAAGCTCCTGCTCAAGGGGCGATGGCTTCAAGCCGCCCTCTGTCCCATCCCGGCGCCGATTCCGATACTCTAGAACCTGGAGCAGCTCTGGCTTGGAACGAAGGCTCAGGCCTCTGAGAAGGAGATTGACACAATACGGAGGTTTCATCCCTCCCTCCCTCCCTCGGCAGGTGAATGGCTGTGATAAGCATCCACCCTCCATGACCCCAATAACAAGATAATATGTATACGAAAGCTGGGCAGCCCATATAAAAGCAGACAACAGCTGTTTCCCTTTAACAATAAACATCGTTCTCAGCCTGGCTTAGTTTGCCTAATAATGTAACATTTTAGACTGGGAACACTGCAGAAAAGTGCTATAGCACTAAAAAAAAAAAAAAAAAAGGACAAAGGAAAAAAACTATTTTTACACAAGTTTTACACAAGTCATGTAGTTTTACACAAGTTTCAATAAAGGATGGCCATATTTCAGCATAATTGTCCCATATATTATCTATGTCTGTGAACAATTCATTCATAATTCTCAACATCATCATATGTAGCAAATGTATGGGCAATAGCGCTACATTTAAAAAATGCATAGTTATCTCTCACAGTGATTCACAAACTTCTCTGAAGGGAAATCTGAAAACCATTGTCCATCCAAGCTGAAGTGGAGTGCCCTAATAAAACAAGAAGTACTAGGCTAGATGTGTGAACAAGCATTGAACATATGTCTTGGTTTTGGTTTTAATTAAAATAGGACTTATATCAACCCATGGTTCCATCCATTAAAAAAAAATCACAAAACTGGGTATGAAGATAGTGATAATTTTATAACTTTGTGAGTAAATGGATCTGATACTGAAACTGATGGAGTCACAAATTTTCCCTTCCTACTATATTCCATTCTTCTTTAAGATGAGAAACAACAGTTATTGTCTAGCTTCCTGAGTCATAAATGCTCTAAATCTGCCATGGCAGTGTATTTCAATCTGCCATTAAATGCATGGTGCCAAAGATTATAAAGAAATTTGCTATGTGTTTTGATATTCTTAAAAAATGCAATTAGGACTGCAAATGCTACATAAACTTTTAATATTTGAGCAAAGCTACCATTCAAAGACCAAGATTTATGTCTGAATAAACAGAGTTGAGGTTTGAAGTGCCTAAAGGTATTCAAAAACAGGTACTCTTACATGGCATTCTTTTCCTTCAACCACATACATGCCAAGCTCAGCCTTGTTGTCACTAAGGTAGTAAACCTACCAGAATCTTCAGCCACTCATCTAAGCCACTCATTTGCAAAAAGGTGGCAACTCCCTTGAATTGTCCTGAGGATTCCTTAGACTTGTCCAATTTCTTGGCAACAAGGAGTGGCTTTCTATTGCCTTCATCCAGGATGGTTTTTCAACTACCCTAGTCTAGCCTACAGTGGAGTCTCCAAATGTGATGTTGGCTTCAGGGTATTTCCCAGGGCCCATCAGAACTGATGGCTTGCTGCTCCATCCATTCCCCACCACCGCCAGGCTATCTTCATTGCTAGCCTTCTTTCTGGGTTTGCAAGAGAGTCCACCTGATGCTGCAGATGACATCACCACCAGGGAGATGGACTAATTTGCAAATAAAAGGGACAGAAAAACTGACTGCTCCCCATCTTTTTTCCCTGTAGCATTCACACACAGGCAGAGTTGATGAGTGTCTGTGCCTGTGGATTTTCTGCTGCCTCTGCTATCCCATGGTAATCAAAGGGAGAGCGAGGGAGAGACAGCAGAAGGATGGGACAGTCTGTTATTTACACAGAGTGGAGCCTATGAGGGTGGGGAGAAAAAATGCCCTACCACCATTGCTTTATAATTTAGCCCTTGTTTACCTGCTGCTGCGGCGATGGGGGAGTGGTGAAGCAACAGGTGGAGATGACCGCTGACAGTTGCAGTCACAAACCTGCACGTGGGCGGCCCTTGGACCAGTAGTCATTCATCTCGGTATCCGGGGCAGCAGAGAGGTCCAGCAGCATCTAGGGTGACTGGGCAGCCCTTCTAGGATAGCACTGTCCGCCCTCCCATGAGGGAGGGGGTTAAAAAAAGGTACCCTAAACATTGCCTGCCCTACAACATCTAGCTAGCTAACCGCAGCTGACAGATCATCTCCTTAGTGGTCGAGCATAAAAAAAAAAGAATAAAAGAAAACTAATTTTTGGAGCCTGGAACATCTCCCCCTTGCTGGATAGAGACAAGGTGTCAAGGCCTGAAAGACAAACAGTACTCATAGCAGCCATTATAGCACTGACATTGCTGCAGTCAGCGAGAGCAGGCTGGCAGACAAGGGCTCATTATAGGAAGCAGCAAGTGGATATGTGCTCTTTTGGAAAGGGAAACCACAGACTGATAACAGGACTCATGGAGTACTGTAGTCTTTGCAATCAAAACTGCTCTGCAGAAGAGCATCTCTACTCTAACCACTGGAATAAATGAACAGATAATGAAGTTCCGCTTTCCTCTCACCAAGTCCTGGTATATCACCATTGTCAGCGCCTATGCACCAACTCTCATGAGTCCAGACAAAGACAAGGAAGGTTTCTACGATGACCTGGACCAGATTATTCGAACAACCCCTGCCAGTAACAAACTCGTCATTCTGGGTGATTTCAGTGCTAGGGTGGGGACAGACAGCGACAACTGGGACAGAGTCCTTGTGAGACAAGGGGTGGGAAAACTAAATAGCAATGGCCTGCTGCTTCTGAGCAAATGTGCCGAGCACAACCTATGCATCACTAACATGATGTTTAGGCTTGCAAACAAATACAAAATTACCTGGATGCATCCCAGGTCCAAACACTGGCACCTGCTTGACTATGTCATAGTATGTCAGTGCAACCTTAAAGACATCATCATCACCTGAGCCATGGGAGTGCTGAGTGCTGGACAGATCACAGGCTGTTCCAGCGGTTCTCAACCTGCACATAGCCCCTTTACATCATAAGTGACCAAGGACTGTCAGAATGTAATTCAGCATCAGCAGACTCCAAGACTCAGGCCAAGTCCAACATTTCCAAGATGTACTTAATGAAACACTCTCTGGCAATGTACAGCTTGTAGGAACCTATTCTGAAAAGTGGATGCAGTTTAAAGATGTCATCACACAGACTGCAACAACTGTACTTGGACTGAAAATCCGGGTGCATCAAGACTGGTCTGATGAAAACCATGAGACCATTTCAGCAGCCCTCCAGATGAAGAACAAGGCCCATGCAGACTGCAGAATGATCCATCATCTGTCTCAAAGAAAGACAACTTTAAGCACTTGGAGTCCAAAGTGCAGATGGAACTGTGAGAAATGCAGGATGAGTAGTGGCAGAGAAAGGCCAGAGCAGGTGGAATGCCATGCACACATACATGCCACCAGAGAGCTCTTCAGCACCATAAAGTCAGTTTATGGTCCTTCTAAATCAAGATGCTCCCCCTTGCTGTCATCTGATGGGTCAAGCCTGATCAAAGACCAGGAAGGACTGAAAAACCT